TCTAGTATAGATAGTAAGCAGCCAGTTGTATAATAAATACGATGGTTCTTTCCGTTGTCATTTCATTTGAACAAACCATCCCGAGAAAAAACATGTCTGTCTTACTTCGTGATAACTTTGGCTATTTACATCTTTTGACTAAATGCACAGAGCATCAGAGAAAAGTTTTGCTTGCAAAAGCCACTCCCGAACAAGTTCATGTAATGTGTAAGGTCTGCCATAATTTATTACAAGGAACAATTCCCATATCAGAAGGGCAAAAGGAAAGATTGAGACCGCACAAGGATGATATAAGAGAGTTAGCTCATGGATCAATACCATTTAAGGCCAAGAAAAAGATTCTGATTCAAAAAGGCGAGGGCTTGGTGGGAGAGGTCTTGCCTCCTCTAATGAGCGCTCTGAGTCTTTTACTGCTATAAAAAAAYCCAGCCAAATCCCAAGAACTTCATTTTACTAGTAGAGGTCATCATGAAGAGAAGAAGAGTTTCAGAAGAAGAATCTACAGAACCCGAGCTGAGCGAAGATTCCTCTAGCGAGGAGGAGCAATTTTCGAAATCGGATGAGAATGAAATCAATCGAATGGCACGACAGCTCCCTAAAAGCATACCGCGAAAAAAGGCATATGATTTACTTCATAGCATGGTAGCATCCAAAGATATTTTGTATTGGAATTCCCATGGAGAAATGACTCATCATGAACGTAAAAATCTACTAGCCAATATGAAAGAATTAATCGAGTATGCTTTGTTACCTTACAACCCAGACGTTAACGCCCCAAGAGGGCTCAAGACTTTTACCAGTGGATTGGCAGAGCCTGATTTGAACAAGAATCTTATTCRCAACAAAATACTATTGGCAGATCTGATTGCCAGGCAACCAGAAGATAACTATGATATGGATGTTAGCAATAGTGAAACTGAAAGTGACAATGATGCTGAAGAATCCCAAGAGGAACATGACAGCGAGGACTCAGAATCGGAGAGTGAGGACGAAGAAGAAGAAGAAGAAGAAGAAGAAGAAGAAGAAGAA